GTTGGCCCCGAATCATAGCATATAGTCCAACCTTGGATGAAAATAATCAAGACAACAATCAGATAGCATTTTTAGAGAAACATGGCATGATGCTCCTAGCCAGGAATTGGGAGATCTCTTGATCAGGATTGGCCCACTATGTTTCCTGCCAGAGTGGATCAGCAAATGATGCCCCCTATACAAGTCAAAGAGCATAGTACTCAAGGTAGCCAGGTTCTTATTCTTACACCCAAAAACATCCTACAAATGCCTCTTCCACATCCTGGCTGTAAAAACACAGTGGAACCTCGGGTTGTGGATGTAATCCGTGATGGAGGTACATCCGTAACCCGCAGTGTTATGTTGACACACACGCGTGATGCGATTTGGTGCTTCTGCGCATGTGTGAGCGGCGAAACCCGGAAGTATCCCTGAAAACACGTAACCCAAAGCATTTGTAACCCGAGGAACCACTGTACAGTAATAAATTCAGTGGCTACCAATTTGCTATTGAGGGGTATGTGCAAAGAAAGTCATCCCTGTTGCATTTTGTTGTTGTTGTTTAGTCCGTTAGTCATGTCAGACTTTTTGTGACTGCATGGACGAGAGCACGCCAGGCACTCCTGTCTTCCACTGCCTCCCGCAGTTTGGTCAAACTCATGTTAGTAGCTTCGAGAACACTGTCCAACCATCTTGTCCTCTTCTCTTTGTGCCCTCAATCTTTCCCAACATCATGGTCTCTTCCAGGGAGTCTTCTCTTCTCATGAGGTGGCCAAAGTATTGGAGCCTCAGCTTCAGAATCTGTCCTTCCAGTGAGCACTCAGGGCTGATTTCCTTCAGAATGGATAGGTTTGATCTTCTTGCAGTCCATGGGACTCTCAAGAGTCACACCCAACACCATAATTCAAAAGCATCAATTCTTTGGCGATCAGCCTTCTTTATAGTCCAGCTCTCACTTCCATACATCACTACTGGGAAAACCATAGCTTTAACGATATGGACCTTTGTCGGCAAGGTGATGTCTCCGCTTTTTAAGATGCTGTCTAGGTTTGTCATCACTTTTCTCCCAAGAAGCAGGCGTCTTTTAATTTCGTGACTGCTGTCACCGTCTGCAGTGATCATGGAACCCAAGAAAGTAAAACCTCTCACTGCCTCCATTTCTTCCGCTTCTATTTGCCAGGAGGTGATGGGACCAGTGGCCATGATCTTCGTTTTTTTGATTTTGAGCTTCAGACCATATTTTGCGCTCTTCTCTTAAGAGGTTCTTTAATTCCTCCTCACTTTCTGCCATCAAAGTTGTGTCATCTGCATATCTGAGGCTGTTCTGTTGCATTTTAGCAGTTACACAAATCTCCATGAAAGGGTCAGGCTTTGTGTCTTTAAAAAAAAATGACTTGTCTGTTTTTGTTCTTTTAAATAAATTGTTTACATATGTAGACGTCGTTCTGTTGGGACATGGTGCATTTTATTGTGCCACATTCTTGGCCTCATCGTTGTTAAAGCTAAGATTCTTCCCATTTTTCCTTTCCTAGTTTGGCTCATAAATGACTGGTATTTCAGAAATTCATTCTCAGGAAATAGCTCTGCTATATATGAAATGGTAGTGCTTGAACAGGAAAGAGAGATGGACTTATTCAGCCAACAGTTGATCCGGCTTTATTAAAACTATTTCCCCCTCCAATCAGAAATGTGTTCTTTATCTCCTGGAGTTTTTACCTGCAGTCTCCCCTTTGCCAAATACATTAGGATTGCGAGGGGTACCCCATGGCCAACTATTATTGTTTTAAGTATTTATATCCTGCCTTTTTCCCCAAGTTGGGATTGAAGGGATCTTACAACATTTTAAAACACCATTGTAAAATACAAAGTAATAAAAGCAAAAAAACAGTAAAATACTTAAAATTGTGTTGAAGCATTGGTCTGCCTAGTTCTGTCTGCTACAGCTGGGAGCCCACCCTCCAAGGTCTGTTCCCAGCTTCCTGTGGGTGCTGGGACCCCAGCAACATTACGTGTGTGCTACTATTGAATATGGCATTGCAAGGAATTCCAGCAAGGGTGAATTTTGCAGGAGCATCGTTCCCAGAAGCACTGACCGTCTGTAACTTGAAAACAAAGCTTTTCATTTCAGTGTGTGCTCACTGATCTGGATATAATAATATGTGCACTGCAATTTCCCTTCTTTCTCACAGGTACCACCATGGTGAAGCCAAAACTGAACAGAATGGATGCTATCGTCATTGTGTTGATGAAAACATTGAAAGGAGAAACCACTATTTGGATCTTGCAGGAATAGAAAACTATACGTCAAAATTTGGGCCAGGTATATTATGCATTTTCTATAATTTAGCTGCTCCCTAGAGAAGCTATTGTAATGATCTATATGTTTAATATCTCATTCTCTCTCTCTCTCTCTCTCTCTCACATACATACACACACACACACAAAACATTTATTTATTTATTTATTTATTATTGGATTTTTCCTTTCCCCCCCTTTTTTTAGCTGTTTGTGTTTTAACTGTAATCCACCTTTAGTCCCTGTCAGGGCAAAAGTGGGATATAAATGCAATAATAATAATAAGAATAATTTAGATGTCATCTATTCCGACCGTCCTTTTTATTGTTGTTAAAATTGGATCTTTAGACTTGTAGGTGCTCAAGTATGGTAACTGGAACCCAGTGAGAACTAAACTAAAATTTCCAACTCTATTGACCAAGTGTAAAAATGATCATTAATACAGCTGATAGGGAGCTGCTTTTAAACAAACAAACATTATTATTATTATTATTATTATTATTATTAAGCTCATCCTCTGTTTGGTACATTGGTTTATTTTACTTCAGCTGCTTCCTGCTTTTGTTGTCGTGTCAGTACTTGGAGCCTTAACATGACCAGGTGCTCTACTTCTTGTTTCTCAGGATCACCACCAGCGGCTCAAAAACACGACCCTCCCATCCGAGTCGCAAACCAAACAAGGTCCCGTTCCCACGAGCCAGAAATCTTCCACGCCCACCAGCGCAGATCGCCAGCAGCGGACCCTGGCCACATCAGTTTGATGGAAGCCTCCTACGCAAAGCTTGCAGAGATACAGCAGAGGCTGCGGAGCCAAGATGCGAGCAGGCATTTTGCCAAGTCTCCCAAAGCTCAGGGCAGAAATGCCTCTTCCGCCAACGCGGGGAGGGCCGTAAGGAGTAAGCCTGCCCAAGGGGCCTCCGTGCCGATGGCTTCCCCCACCACGCGGCTGGGCCCGAACCTCCCTTATCTCCCCATGCAGCCTCAACCAGCTTACAAGAAACACAAGCAGAGGGCCAAAGAGACTCACCAAGTCTGCAAAACCTTCCAGCCCCCTGGGACGGTTTTCGAAAAAGAGCATGTGAGAGACCTGCCCGCTGTCATCTTGTACGAAGGCCAAGTGGGGCAGATGATTCAGAGACACGAGCACCACCACCATCACGAGCACCACCACCACTATCACCACTTCTACCAGACATGAAATGGACCCCCTGCTGCCGTCCGTTAGTGAACCATCCCGATATGAAGGAGGCCTTTTTAGCTGCCACACTCGGGAAGAAAAGTGTTCTTCTTATTAACCTTGTTGCTACTCCATTAATATTCTGCTAGCACCCATCTTAGGAGTCATATGAAAACACTAAGATTAATAATAATAATAATAATAACCTAACACTATTTATATTATGTGGGACTGTGTAGCTTACTTTATTCATTTGTGGATTTAAAGTTTGGCTTGTACAAGAACACCCGTGCACAAGAGCAAACAGCCATGGCTATCATCACGAGCAGTGCTTGAATGCAGGTTGTCAATGCACTTTCGGCAAGGATCCCTTCCTCCACGGTAACTGGAAGAGATGCTGCAAAACAATAAGGCTATGACACCCAGCTTGTCCAATTCGTTGCCTCATTGCACACAAGCCCATCATCAGGGGAGCAATGTTCAAAGGTTCTGGACTCCGGGAATATAAACAGCTGCTACCTCTCGTATAATTCAGAACTTCTTAATGATTGTATTGTGCTATGTTGGGGTGGGGCTGGGGGGGTTGTTTTTATTTGATTGCATTCATGTAGCCTGTATATGTTTTACTCCTCACCTCCTTGCAAGCTATATCTTAATATTAATTATGTGGAAATAACTAACTATATTTGTCAACAGAGCTACGTTTTTCAACTTATTTCCCCACCCCCCTTTTTTACCATTTTCTTTTTAAACAGACACCTTTACGGTCTGCTTTATATATTGGGTACTATTTAAACATATATTTTCTCTTTCTTATCGGCTGTTGTGTGTTGGAAAGCCATCATTAAGGAGTGTGTTCCATTGCAGTCTGGATAGGGGCTCTTCAGAGGATCTGTGGGGTCCTGGCACCAGAAGAGTGAAATAGGCCTCAGAGGCAAGGGGGCGTAGGTAGACTGCACTCATTTATCCCTGTTCACAGTCACCACTCTGAACAATAGCAAGAGGTTTGCACTCGTTTGTAGCATTCCTCTATTTCTCACTGTTGCAAAGGCTGCTTCTGTAACCCTCAGTGAATTGGATTTTCCCTTCTTGGGTGTCACCCTGTGATGACATCACAAGTTGGCTTGTTGCTGGCTTCAGCCAATCTCCTGTGGGTCTTCCTTCACCAAACACACACACACACACACACCACTCTGCATATCAGATGCCTTCCTCTAAATTTGCTTTGGGCGCCATCTTGACAACAAAGGCATATAAGACAGCAATATTGTTACTCAGCTGGGGCATTACTAACCTTCACTTTTCAGCTTATAGTTTTCCTACACCCCCCCGTGTGTGTGTGTGTGTGTGTGTGCGTACACACACACACACACACACACACACTCATTTAATTTTGTAGGTTGTGGATTTCTTCTTCTTTTGCTTGGTTCTTCTCCTTCATTTCCCACGTTGTTCTTTTAGAGAGAGAGAGTTGTGGACAGAATATTACTTTTCTCACCTTTTAAACGTTGGCAAATATATATAAATATAAATATATATAAATATGAATATATTATATGAATATACACACTCTCAGGTACATTTTTTGTGTTTTATACAAATCTGTGGGTTGTTTTTTTAAAAAAAAAAAATTAACATTTTAATCTTAAAGCAGCGACTCTTTGGACATGCTCTTTGAACATACAAGTATGTGTGTTCCTTCACCCCACCCCAATCTCCCAGCTGCTTCTTGATTTTTGGTTCTGCAGCATCTACTACTTCTGCCTATTTCTTAAAAAAAAAAAAAAAAATCATCTGTCTTCTAGTCTCCCCCTCCACATTCCTATCATATGACCTCCACCCCATAAAGCAGGTTAAGTCATGATGTAAAAGGTCATGACTGTCTGTCAAAGGTAAACCTGGAGCAAGCATGGCCAAAGAGTTGTTAAGCTTGATTCCCTGCCCCCCCCCTCGGGACCAGCAGCTAGAGAACACTGGGCCAAATTGGTTAAACCATGGTGCTGAGAATGCAAATGTTGCAAGTTCGACCCCTGTATGGGACAGCTGCATATTCTTGCATTGCAGGGGTTGGAATAGATTGTCCTCAGGGTATCTTCCAACTCTACAATTGTATGATTCTATAAAATCCTAAGAACAGAAGAGCCTGCTGGATCAGACTAGTGCCCTGTCTAGTCCATCAACTTGTTCTCACGGTGGCCACCTACATTGCTGTGGGAAGCCAGCAAGCAAGACCAGAGCCCAACAGCACTCTGAGGCATACCCACCTCTGACAGTGGAGGCAGAAAATATACATTGCGGCTGGTAGCCATGGAGAACCTTATCCTCCATGAATTTTTCTGATCCTCTTTGAAAGCCATCATAGAATCATAGAGTTGGAAGAGACCACAAGGGCCATCGAGTCCAACCCCCTGCCAAGCAGGAAACACCCTCAGAGCACTCCTGACATATGGTTGTCAAGCCTCTGCTTAACGACCTCCAAAGAAGGAGACTCCACCACACTCCTTGGCAGCAAAGTTGGCCACCATCACTAAAAACTGTCCTGAATCTTCCAACATTTAGCTTCATTGGATAAAAATCCAGCTACCCGAAGAGCTCTGGTTTCCTCACTCAGAGGCAAGAAGGCTACATGTAAAGGGGGGCATTGTGAAGACAACCGGACTTGCTGTCTGTCTGGTGGCCCTTGGCTCACCACCCTCTACCCCTTCTCATTAACCCATTAGCATTCTTAAGCCTTCATCTCTCTTCTTCTACAGCAGCCTTCCCCAACCTAGTTCTCACCTACTGTTATTGAACTACAGCTCCCATCACACCTGACCATTAGCCATGCTGGCTGGGGCTGATGGGAGTTGTAGTCCAGAATATTTGGAGGAGGCTGTGGTACAGGAACTAGGATCAGACTAGACCTTCCCATCTGGCTCTGTTAACAGACAGCTCTCTCGTCTTTTCTGCATAGCATCCATTGCCCCCACACAGATGAAGAGCTCCTCCCTGTGAGCAGCAACAGGAAACCCTCCTTGCCTCCCATGCGGGAACCAAAACACACAGGGAGCAAGTGGTGCATTTCAAAAGGAGGGACTCTGCCAAGGCTTCTGTTGCTGTTCCCATTGCAGTTAAGGAAGAAAGTTAAAGAGCTCCTTTGCCTATGGCCTTGACTCTCACTGGAGTAGATAAGGAGGTGAAGGCAATGCTGTTGGCCCTTCAGCACTTGGCCATCCCATTAAAAATAAGTTGTCAGGCAGAGCAGCAAAGGGAGGAGACCGTTTTAGGCTTCCTGCTCTAGTCAGGTGGCAATTTGGTGTTTACAAGAGAGCAAAGAATATTGAAGAAGGGGGTGCACAGTTTAGTGTGTGCCTTTTGCAGAAGCTACCAAAAGGAAGATCTTGGGGAGGGGTTGTTCTAGGGCTGCACTTCCCCTCTGGCCACAGTCCTTGGCCCCTTTACCAGTCAACAAGCTAGTAAGCCAGGACCCCTTTGTTGCATTGCAAGTTAAAAGGAAGTCTCTGACCACACACACACACAAACCAGTGTGGGATTTTTTTTTAAGCATTTACTTTTGCTTTTATCTTCTTTCAGTATTTGTGATTGTTGTTTACAATATTGTGAGATGTTCTTCCATTTTAAAAAATACTGGGGAGCCCCAGCTCAAATTTTGAACAGTTCAAAATGGGATGTTCTGTTTGAAGAAGGAAGCATGATGTGTACAGTGACGACAAATACATTGAAGAGTCTGACTTGGTTGTGGCTAGTGATCAGAATTAACACTTGTTCATTAGTTCTACAACTCTTGTCTCAAAAAGAAAATCTAAGCAATGCTTTCCTCTTCCTTTTAAAACAAAACCAGCCATGTTTTACATGAGTGTTATTTTCCTTCTGTCAACATTTGGTCCAGTTATGTCTGGCGAGATCTTTTAAAGTGTGTTAATCTACGTGACAGCTAGCCCATTTGGTTTATCCTTTGAATTTCTAAAGTTAAAAAAAAAAGATTATTTATATGCTGAATTTTTTTTGTATAGAAAACTGGGGAGGGGAAAGTTGGTTAGAACAGTCTTTACTTAACCACTGAGTGTTCTAGTCTATTTTGCTGCTTGTGTTATCAAACCCTTCCTTTCCTCCAATGTATATATAATTATGGACTACAAAAAAGAAAAAAAGGCATATCACATGCCTAGTAGAAGGAATAAGCTTATTTATATGATAGTGTTAAACAAAGTCTGATGTATTCAAGTGATTTTTGTTATACTGCATGCAACCCCACAAGTGTAACACATTCCATTGGAGAAAAGATGCCATGTCTTTAGGTTCTTAAGAAAGTGGTGTTTGTCATTTCTTTTCCTGTTTTCTTCCTATCTGTTGTATGTTTTCCACATACAATCAGGCAACTCCAACAATGCAGAAGAACATATCTCTCTTTGACTCAGAAGGAGGTAAAGAAATTGCATTAGCAATGGTTTTAGGAGTCTTTAAGAGGACACGGTGGCGCTGTGGTCTTAAACCACAGAGCCTAGGACTTGCCGATCAGAAGGTTGGCGGGTCGAATCCCCGCGACAGGGTGAGCCCCCGTTGTTCGGTCCCAGCTCCTGTCCACCTAGCAGTTCGAAAGCACGTCAAAGTGCAAGTAGATAAATAGGTACCACTCTGGCGGGAAGGTAAACAGCATTTCGTGCGTTGCTCTGGTTCGCCAGAAGCGGCTTAGTCATGCTGGCCACATGGCCCGGAAGCTGTCTGAGGACAAACACCAGCTCCCTTGGCCTATAGAGCAAGATGAGCGTGCAACCCCAGAGTCGTCAGCGACTGGACCTAACGGTCACGGGTACCTTTACCTTTAAGCAACACTCCTCCCAATACCCCCTCCCTTCGGCAATCCGTTTTGTTCAGGAGAGAGTCATGGATGTGTTGGCTACAAGATTTTGTTGGATTAGTCCAAGCATTAGCAGTGTGTTTTGGGGTGGTGTTAATCTAACCTTTAAGATGTTTTTTTTTTCCTGGATAAGCACCTTTTAAATCATTTTATAGGGGATTATATGTATGTGGTTAGGGGTAAAGGGTAGAAATCAACTCAAGGTTGTGCAAGGAGAATGCCTCTCAAGGCTGGTTTTGTGTAGGTGCAAAATGGCAGTGGTATGATGTGAATGGTTAAATTTGCTCTTGACCAAAAGTAGCCAACACACAGGACAGTTGCCTAGTTCTCATTGTGGTGGTAGTGAGCTTGCTTTTGAGGTGCATTGTTTTAGATTGCCAGTTGGGGGTTCAAATGCCTGAAAGCTCTTCCATAAGATAAAAAAAAAATTCCCTCGAACCTTGGCAGGTAGCATGCTGGGGAAAAGAAGGCTATGCTGGAACCATAAAGTTGCCAGAAGAGCCCTGCTGAATCAGACCAAAGGCCAGTCTAGTCCTACATTCCATTTCCCATTGTGACACCCGCCTCCCCTAATTGCCTTTGATAAGTCCACAAGCAGGGCAGCTATGCACCATCTAGGAAGAAAAACCACATTACAAAAAGATCACGAGGTGTCCTGAACCCCTGGCCGGCAAGTCAGTATGTCAAATCCCCAGTCCAGTTTTAATCCACATGCCCAGTGTCCCACAGAGATCCTGGTGCATCCAAGTCAAGGTCCATCAACATGGGTAGTTGAGCAGGAACCTCAGTTCTGCCCTTTTTCACTGCCTGCTGATTGCAGCATCTGGGCTTGATGAGCCATGTGACCCTCACCTGTTCCAAGCCTACTCCAGCTGAGGAATCACAAATCTAAAACTAGTTAGCCTCACCTGGCCAGCTAAGGAGCTGGGCTGTCGGCCCTTGCCTACCTCAGCCTCCTGGAACACATCACCCACTGCTCCCTACACTTCAAAGCCCACCATTTCATGGAGACAGGGGTCACTCTGGCTCTGTTGATGAGTCCTGCTGCTCTGGTTCCTGTGCACTGACCCCCATCCCTTCATCATCCTCCATTACCCTGTGAGTACTTCCTACACCAATCTTCTCCTTCCCCATTCCCAGCTTGCCCCAGTGTGTCCCAGTCCCGGCTACACCCCTCGCCAGGATCCTCTTCCTCCTCCCTGTTGACTTGCTTGTTTATGACACGGTGCAGATTTGCACAAAATGTGCATATGTCACATGTCCAGATGCAAATATTGAAAAATTCAAATAGGAATGAAATGGTAGAAAGACTGGCCAGGTGATCTGTATTCTCTCTAGGGACAGAGGTAGAGATTTGTTTGGGTTCACATTTAAAGGCAAAGTGAAATGCTTACATCCTTCGAAATGCACACTCCTCTGATTTTGCTTTGCAGTTTTCCACCCACATAATGTGTACAAAAATGCACGTGCTTGGATAAAGTGTGTGTATGTGTGTTAATAAGAATTACATACAAAAATGCATTATATTGGGGGAAATTGTTTTGCACAATTGTGCACATTAGGGGAAACTGCATACAATAATGTGTATGTTAGGGGAAATTCGTTTTAAGGCCATGAGGACTTAAAAAAAAAATCTGGTATGGAAATATGAAGAAATGGACTTAAGAACTGAAAAATGAGAAACTGAAATGGGCAGATTCACCCATACCTAGTGCCTGCTCAGACTGCAGTCCAAGTGTTGATGAGCAGCTTCAAGGCCCCTGTACTCCGTGATTTATCTTTACCCAGGACTTTGACCAGAAAACTCTTCAAATACATGACAGTTTCAAACAGAGAACTGCTCTCTATAAAGGAGGACACACAACCATCCCAGTAATATCCCCATTGCTACAAGCGCCAAGCAAATAATATTCAATAGCCTATTACCTGTGGGTTACATAGAGTTATGGGTGTCACCACTGTGGGCTTCCTGGTTCCATGATAGGGCCTTTTCAGTGGAATGCCCTCCTGAGTGACATGCATCTGTCTCCCTCATTGCTGACTTTCAGGAGAAATCTAAAAACATTCCTTTTTACCCAGGCATTTGATAGCAGACACTGTTCCTGACTGCCCCCAAGATCACTGGTTGCTAATGTTCTTTAACTATTTAAAATGTTTTTAATGCTTTATCACTGCTGTGTTTGCCACCGTGGGTTCCTTCAAGAGGAAGGGCAGAATATAAACCAATAAATTATTATTAATATTTTAAAACCTCAATTTACGCTGTTAGTCACCTTTCTGCTAAACTAAAACATAACAAACAAGAGCCTGCTGGGTCAGGCCATTGGCTTATCTAGTCCAGCACCCTGTTCTCACAGTGGCCTGTGGGAAACTCACAGGTGGGACCCCTCCAGTGATTTCCAGCAACTGGTATTCAGAAGCATTGCTGCATCTAACAATGGAGGTAAAAAAACTTACAAATTGCGACTTTTCCTCTGTTGGGCAATTGCTCCACCCCCCTGACCATTTCGGATGACTTTTCCCACAGTTAGGCGTCTCCCTGACCTGCTAATATGTTCATGTGTCTAAAGGGACTTTTTTTGTATGTGAGCCTCCACCTGTGGATTGAAGTGGTACATCCCAGACCAGCAATTGTAGTTAGGTAATTTTAAGACTGGATTTAATGATCTTACCAGGGGAGTGGGGATGAAACTGTGTATTGCATCACTTACTTAAACCAACCCCGCTGCATTTGAGGGTCATGCAGAGTGGGGGCCCCAAATACCAATCCTCATGACACCACTGGTTCAGACACAGGTTTTACCACCCAACTGGGAACTAAAGCTTTCCTTCTTTTGGATCAACTCAGTCAGGACATTGAACCTGCAAGCTTCCAATGGCACTGTAAGTTTTTCTGTCAGAAAAGATGGCAGCAAAATGGCTCCCAGGAACAGAAGGAGGGGGAGAAGGTTCGCCTTTTTTCCAATCAATGGGTGTTTTGTTCTTGATCTCTGTAGAGCTAATCTTTCAAAGAATCTAAGGTGAATACTGAAGGAAATTAAACAGGGTGTCTTATGTGGGGGTTGGCTGGTTGAGATGTTTTGTTCACTTTCCAAAATGCAAACTATATCATGCTGAGATTTTGTGAAATGCAAATGAACTTTAGTAACATGGCATCAATGTGCTTTTTAAACAAACAAACAAAAACAAACTTATATCAGTTATGTAGAAACATACAGTATTTAAATACTGTCTTGCATTTGTATTAATGTGCATTAATTGTGAATAACTGAACATGTCATGTAGCACAGTTTATGTTTTGGGTTATTTTTTATTCACAGAACTCTTAAGCCTCCATAACATTTTTGTAAAAAAGGAAAAAGGAAAAAAAAGTTTGCTTTTCAGTATTTTGTATAGTTAATATAGATGGTTTTGACTAAATGCTTTATTTATTTAATAGCAAAACTGTGCCAAGAGAAACCCGTTAATTAAAAATTTTACTAGTTCAGACGTTTTCTCCCTTTTATTTTGTTAAGTTCAGCGTCATCATTCCTCCAGTTCTCATTTCATTTTCGTTCATTTGTATTCTAGACTTTTTTTATAAAAAAAAAGTAGAAGAATTGTTTTGGTCACATGGTTGAGGACCTTCACTAATGCTGCGGCAAACTCTTCTTATATTGTGGTTGTTACATTATTATTGGAGATTTGTTGGGAATGTAGGGGTTGCCCAAAAATCCAAGATGCATTGTGGGGTGGGGTTAGAGACAAAAGGCTGTTCAGGTCTGTATAAAATTTACAAGTGCTACTTTAGATATACAGGTGCAAATTTAGAAAGTTGCTTTACTTTAATTGACTGCATCTCACTACAGTGGGGGATACTTTGCCCACTTAGCCAGGTGCTAATAGGCAACACGTGCTTTCCTTTCATGAGACCCATCCATGCTATACATTTAAAGCAGTAACATAACCACTAAACAGACTTTCCCTAAATAATCATGTGGAATGTAGTTTCTTAAAGTTGCTGAGAGTTGTTAGAGGATCCTTATTCCCTTCAGAGAACTAAAGTTCCCAGGGTGGTTTAACCATCAATTCCTCTTCTCAGGGAAATCTGTGAGGGGAATAGGGTTTCCTAAGCAACTTTCAGCACCCTTAGCAAGCTACACTTCCCAGCTTTCTTTGTGGGGGCTTTGTGTGACTGTTCAAAGTGATAATCATAGTGTTCTGGTGCTGTTTACCTTTAAACCAGGCTTGGACTTGTCAGCCCATAAGATGGTGGGAGCAATGCAAACCCTGATTTCAGTTTTCAAAAAAGCCTGAGGCCTAGTCATGAACACCTCGAGAAGCAACCTGCCTCCCGAGTAGATGGAACCTTGATTTGATAACAGATTTCCCCAGATGGGGACAAACTTTTGATCAACCTAAAGTTTGGCCTTCTGGCATGATGGTTAGAAATATTCTAAGACAGGCCATGTTTATCAAGAGCAACCAAGGGAGGAGTCCCCCCCACTCCCCAATTCCAGGCCCCTGGGCCGAACTTAACATTTTAGATCTCTGTTTTCTAAAAAGTGTTTTTGTCTCCATGAAAACACCACCTCCATTACTAATTCAGTTTCTGTATTGCTGCCCTGAGGGCACGACGAGCATTTGGCTGTGTTTTTCCTTGTTTCTTTGTCTCAGACCCTGAAGCAATAGTTTCCAAATTAGAGTGAATGTTAATTAGTTTCTTCAAATGACTGTGTGCAGTATCTACAATGCAATGGTGACTGTTGGCAAGGAAATTCTGGCCAGTGATCGAAATCGACTGTCAAGTTGGCTGGAAACACTCCTGGGTTGAAAAATAACTTGGCGGGGGTGAGGCTGGGCTTGCTACTGGGTTTCATTCCTTAGAGTGGTCCTGTCTTTTCCCTGGATACAACCTTGACGGTTGGTAGAAATGTTGCAGAGTTGTTAGAAGGCCCTGATGAAACCCTGGAGTATTTAATATATGGATTAGATATTATTGGTCATTCTACCACACGTTTCACCAAACACCTGCTCCCTCCCTGCCTCCTGCAAGGAGGATACAGACAACCAACCAGTGGAACGTCCCCATTTTGGACCATCTATATGGGCTCTTGCTTCCGTCTTTTTTTTTCCTTGGGAAACCATCAGTCTAAAAACATCCAGCATGAGGGCTAATCTGCACATACAGCAGAATCCCGACTGAACAGTTCTAGACCGAGAATTACATTTTTAAAATATCTGTGAAAATACTGCATTATATTTTGATCCTTATATATATTGGTGTGCTTTTTAATTATTGTTTTTATGATTATTTTATCTTACATATGTTAGCTGCCCTGAGATTCCTACAGAAGGAAGGGTGGGAAATAAGCACAGGGATAATAATAATAATAATAATAATAATAATAATATGGAGTAGCATTCAAAAACAGAATCCCCAGCTGCAGCCTACCAACTGGTCCAGGGTTCTAATGCCTCATTCCGCTTATGTAAACACCAGCGGTAAAGTCTATTCCTCAGATCTCTTCTGTAATCTTCTGTGCCTTCAAAACCTGCTTTTAAACAAAAGACTGCAATTATATTTTGAAATCTAAAATCTGGGTTCAAAGAAGCTTACAGCAATAAAACAAAAAAAGTACAATAAAAACCATAAAAAGTTAAAAGTTAATTGCTTGCAAGTTTCAACTTGCACCTGGAACTGTCGCATCAAATAAATATGCAGTTGGCTGCTGCCCCTTTATCAGCTCATTCTAATATAGTGTTAAGTATCACCTGATTGTGCCATTTGAAAATGTTTTATTTTGTGCAAGCACATCTTCTATCCTTTTAAAATCGCATTTTGGGGTGCTTCCCAGTCCCCCACCAACATCAACTAAATGCATCTGCTGGATCAACAGCAACAAAAGCCATTTTCAAAAACATAACAGAGTGAAGGATTCCTCCCTCCCACCAATAGAAGCTTTGTACACATTCCACTTGTGCACTTCCACCGCTGGTTTCAGAAGCGGTGCACTCCGGACATTTGGTCACAATCCACACCTTTCCTGACATTTCTTACGAAATACGGCCAGCTTCAATCCAAATTCAGGAAAATAATGGCCTAGCTGCATTGTAACTTGTCAAGGAGTACGCAGCCAGAGGTAAGGTGTATATCTACGTCTTCATGCACATACGCACACCCAATTCTGATGTGAAATGTAGCTGCAACATTGGCAGAAGCAATTTAAGGGAGCTTGCAGATTTTGGGGAGGGGGAGGTTGGGGGGGCAGGGGAGGGGGGGAGATAAACCTTATTATGTTTCTTTGCCAAAGGAGAAAAGAAACGATATTGACTTAAATGTGGGGAATTTAAAAGGGGCCATATGTTCTCACTTTGTGCTTTGTTTCTAATAGATAGACAGAAATCTTTTGAAGTGTGGATTGGCTCAGTGGGGTGCAGGCTTCTGTAGAGAAAAGATGCTAAAAGGGAGGATGTGAGAGGGCATATGAAACTCTATTAGCCATGCAACAGCAGAGAGAGAAAGGCAAATCCAATGATAATGTACATCTGTTTCAGGGAGTTTATAAGCTTTGAACATTTTTTATGTGCTGATAAGTGGATCCTTTTCTTACTATAACTTAGAACTTCAAAGGAGATTGTGTGGATAATGCAAATTGCTGAAATATGAGATTTTCCTACAAAGAGGTTTTCCAAAAAAAGAAAAAAGAGAGAGAGAGGAAAGAATTAAGGCTAATTGATGCCACAGTCTTTTATGTGCAGTGTAAAAACTCGACAAAAATTGATTTTTTAATATTTTTTTAAAGGGCATTGACGGAAAATATATTGGAGGCTGTTTCCCTCTCTCTATCCACCCCCACCCTTTGTGGGCATGGTCTTTGGTTTGAAAGAGAGAAGCTTCTGTAAGTTGAACATTTGTCTTCCAATATCAGCGAAGCAATAATAATGTAGCATAAATTAAGAGACATAGCCTAGCTGTTAATGCTATCAAAGTCTGTCATGTCAGGGGAATGTTAAGAAACCACAAGTGGAAAGCAGCACGGAGTAGGGAACGATCTTATCTGCTTCAGTCAACTGCCAATTTCATCTCCATAACAAGCCGCAGGATCACAGTATATTGCCATTGCTATTATCACCTGTCCGCTCTATCTGGATGCTGAACAGGAACAATTAACCTATGGAACTCACTGGCACAAGATGCTATGAAACCTCAGGTGTGAGTGGCTCATTGGTGTTTTTTGTTTTAAAGAGAAGTGGATGTACCTCTCCCAAACAAACCATTCCATCTATTCCCAATCTTTGGGGGCAAGGTGCCACCAAAACAGCACCACCCACACAAGAGGGAGCTATTTGCAGGTTTGCGGAAGTATAAAAATCCTAAAAGAGGCAACTCCCTGACACAGTTCAGTGAGAGCTGAACTTGCTCAGTGGTGATGGAATGCTGACTGTTGTGAGGAGTGGAAATGGAGTGCCTGGAATTGTGAACAGAGAACACAACCTACACTAAAAACGTTTTGTTGCAGGCCCCATTATCCAAAGCTAATAGCCGTTACATCTGGCAATGAAATCCCATGTTCAAGGACAGCAAAAATTTCAATTATTCATTACTGGCAGCGGGGCAGAAAGACCGGACTTCAGGGGCAATGGTTAAGCATCTGAGAGCCACGCGGCATGACTTCTTGTCCCTTGGTTGGGACTTTGACTGCTTTGGATAGTCTTCCCTAGGGTTTTCTTGTTAGTTCTGACTAGCAGTGACTAGGTGAGATCTCTGTGTGACTTTCACAGGCCTCCTACCTTAGATGCTTTCCAAATGGAACTGTCCAGGAGCAAACTCAGGACTTTTTCCAGGTGCTAAGCATCTGGTCGCTATGGAAAGGGGAGAATGTCAAGGACTGTATTTAGGTAGGGCTTTATTCCATCTCACCAACATTTCCTTTCCTGACAATTTCAACATTTTATGGGATCTTTTTGAAAGTTTAGCAATCATTTCCACCTTATTTTCCCCCAGAAAAACCTGGAAGATTGTGGGAGTGTTGCATCGTAATGTATGAGAAAAATCCCATAATTTAAAATTTAGCATGACATGTTGATATATCCATCAAATGCCAGTTCCATAATGCAACAGGTGATGCAGTGAAAAAGGAACTTTTTAGAAGTTGAGACAGAAGTGCTGGGATTATAACCAGGAAAATGTAACGCAACAAACCCCACATCTGAATGAAGCCCTGCAGGCTTCCAATGATTTGTTTTCTAGTGGGAAGGAAGGTACCATAACTCAGTGGAAGAGAATCTGCCTTGAATCCAGAAAGGCTGTGAATGAGTCCTTGCCGTTATGGAAAAACTGGGTTAGGTGGATTGATAGACTATGAAACTAAGTCAGTTTCATAGAGTTGACAAATCTGTCATTGGAAATTCAGAATCAACTCCTACCAGCATGGTTCAGTAGGATACTTTTCTTCATCTGACTCCCATCTTGAGCTATGGTGAGCTTCACCTGCAAGGTTTT